AAGTAGTTTATGATATTGATAATGATTTGATTTGATTTGATTTAGTTTGATTTAGTTTTATTGGATATTATTTGATTTAGTTTTATTTGATTTAACTAAGTTTTTTGACTAAAAATTTTATTACCTTATTAAATTAGTATTACTCATTAATTTCAACTTAGTTTTCAATGTTTTTAATCTGTTTGTTTAATTTGATTTTGAATTTATTTTATCTTTGACTTTTACTTATTGATTTTAACTTAGAGTTTCAACGCAAAATTTCTTTCATTTGTTCTATTGTGAATTAGATTTTTGAATTAAAATTTGTTTTGAATTGATTTGAATTCATTTTTATAAATTAATTTTGGTTTTGACCTTGAATTCATATAAATGCAAGTTTTCTCTTTGGTCTTAAATAGGATTGGTTTTGATTTTAACTTTATTTTGAATTACTTTATTATTGCAATTTAAATTCAAATCGAATTAGATTTTGATATTGATTAAGTTTTTAATCGAAATTAAAATTTCATTGCAGTAAATGATATTTTTATGCAAAGGTCCAGATCATGTACCGAATTATGAAAGGAAAAAATGAATTAACATTGAAATTCATTAAAATTAAAGATAATTCATCGAAAGCTGATATTGAATCCAGCAACTCTTCAATTGGACAATGTACCATCCTGAATCTAGCTGATTTTTCAATAACAATTCATGAATTTCTGATGATATTGAAGAAAACACCACCAAATTTGATCCATCCCATTTTACACTCAATAGTTGATATTGTAGCTGGTAGATCTCTTTTATACATTTCAAAAAGAAAATTTTACGATGTTTTGTCATGCGCAGACGATCAGACATGTTCTGAAATTTTGAACTGCACTCAATAGAAACTATTTTGAATATTTCTTTTTATCTGTTTAGCTGAAATGAGAATAGTTTCAGTAAATATATCAAAACCGAGCACTGATACTGGATTCCGTGCTCCAAGTAAACCTGATTATTACAAAAAAGAAGGAATAGTTTCAAGTTTGAAATACCCCATTATACCTAAAGATGTATTATGCCCAACCGAAAAGGCCAATAATGCATGTTTAGCCTCAAAATATGTAAAATATTTGAAAAAAATGCACAAAAAGATTGAATATAAAACATTACATTGCAAATCTTGTGCACGTAAAAAAATAATGAAAACTATTGATAGGAAAAAAATAATTGATAACTTTTCTAGTAAATTCACTAATTCAAAACTTTGTATTTTTGCAAACGCTAATATGTGTCCGAGAGTTGACGTAGCTATGACTTGGTTAATTAACTGTAAATATCAACGTCATTTTATAAGTAAATGTAAAATCCACTGTAACATCTTACGAAAGATGAAAAATGCAATTGAAATGAAAAGAAATGTATTGTTTGAAGTTCTGCGATAATAAATTTTTTTATTTTTATATAGAATATGATTTCACCAATTATTGAAAATTGGACTTGTCCAATAACGATTTCTTCACTGAACCTTTATCTTAAAATGAAACACACTCACAATCGAGCTGCTTCATACTCGTTAACTGAGCTTCCAAAAGCATGGGTTGATAAAATAATCACAAGTGGATTCTTTTGTAAAGATGAATCAACTGCATGTTGTTATGCTTGTGGCTTAGAAATTGGTTTGATCTTCCTTGATACATCCATTCATAATGTGCACAAAAAATTGAGTCCTGAGTGTTCATTCGTGCGTGAACGTGAATTTTGTTGGAATTTGCATTTGGATAAAGAAAAGAATGTTTCTTGTTTCTGCGCGCTGCCTAGAGCAAATTGGCAAACAGATTTTTCAGCCCCGGTCACTCTTCCAGTTTTTAAAATAGTTAAGAATGGTTCTACATTTACGAAGGAATTAACTGACAAAAGCTGGATAAATCCGGAAAAGATTTATCCATTATATCAAATCCGAATTAATCGATTCAATTCCTTTAAGGACGCTCCAATTTCACTTAAAAGTAAAAATTTACTTGTTGAAAGTGGCTTTTTCTGGACTGGGCACGGGAAAGTTATACAATGTGCTTTCTGTCGACTAGGAACAGAGGGACCCATGCCATTCACGCCAAACTATTTTCATAAAATCCTTTCACCATTCTGCCCGTTCATGACAGAGGAATCTTACGATATAGAAAGAAGTTTTTGTTGCGTCTGTTTAGTAAAGAATCATAACGTGTTGTATTTACCTTGTAGTCATATTGCTGTTTGTGACAGCTGTGATAATCAACTGTTTCGCAATTCATCTCGAAACTGTCCGCTATGCCGAACAAAAATTGAAAAAAGAATTTTCTGTATTCTTCCTTGAGTATGTTTTCACAAATTATTTCACATGTTTTAGTTGTTAACATTCTTTTAATTTTTCTATTCTTTTGTTCTTGTATTTTCAGAAAAATGGCAAGATTTTCAACACGTCGATCCTTCCCAAAAAAATCTTTCAAAAAAAATCAACCGCTGCACAAAAATATTTTATATCTTTTAACATTAATACGAGAAGAGAAATATGTTTATGGCCAGTCACTCAAGGAAATGAAGAAAATCTTGAATGCAATCTTGGACACACCTCTCCTCAAATCAGAATGCCGTCCCGAATGCTGCCAGGTGGCTGATACTTTGATCGAAATTGTAGCAGAAGATTTTCTTGCGACTGCAGAACACTTAGAGCTCCAAGATTCTTTACTTTCACTCTTTCTTTGTTCCGTTGACTCTTCTTAATCCCCTTTCATTTTCCTATTTCCGTGCAAATTTCTGATATTGATATTTGCATCTCTTTACTTTTTTTATATTGGGTTGTTAATTATGGAGGTACCTTAAATTTTGTATTTTGCATCAATATAGATTGTTTAGTTTAAATTAAAATTGGATTTATTATGAAAACTGCTCATTTTTTATACTATTATCTTGTCATGAAAATTTCATTTGAAGATGTATTTCTATTATTAATTATTTTCATTTTCTTTTTTTTATTTTATTGATAGATGCCGTTCCCAAGAGTCGACAATGCAGTTCGATTACATTATCATAAGCTTATTTTCAAATGTCTTCCGATGCAAAAAAAGATTCTTTGGCTCATGTGGTTCTTGGTTAATTGTAATGGTTTTCTCTGTAACAACGAAATAAAACAGATTGATGATATTGTTAGAAAGGTGATTGGCAACAGGAGGGCGCATACAAGGAACATTCGAGATTTATGTAAACTGGCAAAAGCAAGGAACAGTCTTCTGAAGCGTCCAATAACAGAAGAAGTTATCGAAGAATTGCTTTACCGTCTTCACATTTTTTATCACGAAATAGCTGATGAATGAAATTATTACATTTACTTGCTCTTATAATTTCTTAATCTTTGTTTTCATGTTTTTTTTATTATCATTGTTTTTATTATTCGTTATTTTTGTATTTTTTTCTTCACATTTATATGTAATTTACTTTTCATGTCAATTTCTGTCCTCAATTTTGCGTTTGTTTTCATTAAATTTTTTTTCTTTTATCCTTTTTCTTTAGTTTTTTACGTATATAAACAGTGTTTGTTTGGGTTATATTTCAGTTAGCTATAAAGACTCAGAATGAACAAGTTGATTAATTATTTTTATTACAAGCCTCCAACAGATGTTATTGTTCTACACTATGATGAACACAAAGTCAGGCTTTTACAACCATCCTTCACAGCAAGACTTAATCAGCAGTTTCCAGACAATTCTCTTAATAAAAGTTTGAAGGGATCTTTAGTTGGCCCGCTTAAAAGTAATGGAAAGAATAGCTTTATATTGAAAGGTAAGTCATTAAGATTGATTTATTTGAATTTACTATTTTATTTTAATTAGAAAAAATCGACTCTTATTATTGTGATATTATTCTTTACTTTTACTGGACCGACCGAGTTTCACACAAAAAATTATCTATGGAAGAAAAACTTGAACTAGCTTACGCAATGGATTTCTTTGGTATACAATTGAATGAATACGCATCGACTAATGTTACTATTTATGAGCTCAGGCAAGACCTAATCACGTATGCTCACGAATCAAATGATGTATTGCGAGATTTGATAAATTATTTAATTCCAGACTTGAATCGTGAACTGGAAGAAAATTTCTAAAGATGATGTAAGTTTTTGAATATATATTATCTAATTTGTTTACTCAAAATGTATTATTTCAACCTTGATAAAATCCTGCAGTGAATATTTTCTACAAGATAAATACACGATAAATGCGTTTTAATCTTGCGTGCTTAATATAATTTTCAAAAACACATTCAAGGTAATCTACTAGCAGTCTGGTAATAAAGAGGTATTCAAGGCAACCAGGTGGAAATACCCAGTATTATGAATTATTTTGTGTGAGCTTAACCTTGTACGTTAACATATAAAAATCGATTACATTTCAATTTGCTTTCGCAAAATGACTTTGTTCTTCAGTCGTTGTTATCCAAGTGCTTCATCAATTTCCAAAGCTACATCAGGTTCAGTTGGTTTTGATATTAAATCCTTCGAGAATTTGATACTACCAGTTGGAAAGTCAGCAGTGATAAAAACAGGAATCAAGGTTAAACCACCTGAAGGAACTTATGTTAGAGTGGCTTCACGTTCTGGTCTTGCATCTCGAGGTATTGTTACTCAAGGAGGCGTGATAGATCCTGATTACACTGGAGAAATCAAGATTATCCTCCATAATTGTTCTGAACATGATTATATTATTTCAAAAGATATGAAAATTGCGCAGTTGATTGTTGAGAAAGCGGAATTTCCAGATTTGATTGAAGTTGAATATATAGTCGATTCGGGTGAGCGTGGTGAGAAAGGATTTGGCTCATCCGGAATCTAGGTATATAAATCAAATCATTTCATTTCTTCTTATTCAGTTTTATTTTATTTCTGAAAATGTCTTTGTCAACAAGTGAAGATACGCAAACCAACACACCCCAACCGACCCAACCGGAACCCATAAAACGAGATAGATTTGAACCTTGGTTCATAAAATTATTAACTGTTGAAATAAATCCAACTTTAGTGATTACTGTTGAAAAAGCACGTTATAGTAATGAAGTTTTTGTTGACTTAAGACGAAACAAGGAAATAAACTGGTGGGGAAAGACATATATGGCACGGACTTTTTATGGATTTCTCATGCGTGCATCTGAATATGAGAAACTCATAGGAAAAATGGAAAATACTGTAAACTATGTTGAACAATGCTTTAAGATCAAAGATGCTCCTGGTAGAAAGATTAAGGGTGTTGCTATCGATGATATGGAACCTACATTGGAATTACGTTTCAAGACACCTTATACACGATCTTCAATCTGCTTAACTAAACTTGAAGTTATAAAGATCATCGCTGAAGCTCCTGTTATTGATGCTGTAATCGTTAAAGAAATTTATTAACTATTTCGATTTCCTTGATTTATATTATCTTATATCTTTATACTCTTTTATGTCTTTATACTATTTTTATTCTATTATTTTTGCAGTAATTAACTTTAATTACGTCTTTGCAAAGTGGGTTTTCCCTGCAGTTTGAGTGAGCATGGTGAGATTAATACTATCAATATTTAGTATAAAAGCAGAACATTTTTGATTTTCCATCATTCAGTTTCAACTTACAACTTGTGCTAAACATGTCCGCAATTAATGGTGAACAAGAAAATTCAACCAAATCTCTTCAACGTAAAAAATTCAAAGAAGAATTTGAACAAATTCTTTCTGTTGAATTCTCCCCTCAATTATGGATTGCTGTACAAAAACAAAAATCTGATTCTACTATGTACGTTGATATTCGTCGTAAAAAAGAAGGAAAATGGCAAGGAAATAAAATCTTCATCCCTACACAAGCTGGTCTGTTTCTAAGATATCCCGAATACGAAAAGCTAAGACAAAAGTTGGAGACAATCATGAGCAATTTCGAAAATATCTTTGAATTCACTCATTTTGCGGGAAGAGTCGTCTCTGGTGTTTGTAAAATAAATGGCTCAATTGAGGTAAAACTCAAGACTGAATACAAAGAAACCAAGATTCCTTTGTCACGTGACGAAGCTGAGAAGTTAATCTCTAACTCGGTTGCTGATGGTATTGCTTCTGCAATGGTTCATGTCATTTATGAATGATTTTTAGCAGTTCTTCACTAACATTTTATTAATTTTACTCGTTTTAATATTTTTTAACTTTGGTTCTTATTAATTGATTTTAGTTTATTTACTCGTTTATAACTGATTCTTGTTATGTACTCTATAATGTACTTAATATTAATAAAAAGTGAGCGCTCACAAAATAATGTTGTTTTCTTATTTAAAGAAATTTTTTTTGGATAAACTTTATTGTTGAAAATGTTTTCTTGTGAGCAATGTGGTGAAAATTTTAAAAAATATAAGTCTCTACTTTTACACAGAACAAAATGTAAAACCATCACATGTGTAAAATGTAAACTTCAATATAGTGCATTGAATTTTCTAAACCATCTAATGGAATGTAAAGTCAAGAAAACAACAGATATTGAAGATTTTGCAACATTTAAACTTCACAAAAAAGCCTTCAAAAATACACTTGGAGTGTATATGAAAGCAGAAAGCTGGAATTCAATTGAAAGTCTTTTAGCAGTCGAAAAGGACAATATCAAAAATTTACTAAAATATATACTGGAGAAACTTGGTTCGGTTAAAGTACAAGTATGTGTTCTGCTTAAATTCATCAAACAAAAGCCTGATGGAGAATTGGATGCTACTGAAATCTATAAAGTTTCACAAATGCATAGATTAACAACTATGCATAATTTTTCAGCTGTGATAAAAGACTGGATAGAACAACTTGAACTATCAATTGATCAGTTCACTCAAAGAGGAAGTGGATGGGTACTTGAGAAAGTAAAAGTACTCGAGATACGAATTGGTAAATTGAAAGAGCATAGTGGGGGTTGTAAAACCACTCGACTACCACTCATACTTCATCGGAAAAAAAGTTTACTATCACCAAACTGCAAAAAAGAGTGCTTCAAATGGTCTGTTCTCATGGGACTTCATCCACAAAAAAGACATAAAGAAAAGCTTTATCTCTACAAAAGATATGAAGGATTGTATAATTTCAAAGACGTTGGCGAAATGACTTCAATTTCACAAATTAAAAGATTCGAAAGAAGAAATAACATTTCGATAAATATTTATACATTATCACTTGATGAGAAAAAGAAAATTGTGCCTCTCGTTATAAATGAAAAACGTAAAGAGAAACATGTTAATTTATTTTTTTACAACGATCACTACTATTGCATTACCAACTTTAATGCACTTATCAAATCTAATCGCTCATGGGAACGATTTTACTGCTATTCGTGCTTATCCGGCTTCAGAGATGTGCATTCATTAAAAAAACACGAAGTCCCTTGTTACAACAAAGCACCACAACGTGTTATTTTACCGGGAACAGCTAAAGTTCCAACAAAATGCAAATTTAATAAAATTGAAAAGACGATAAGCTTTCCGTATGTTGTTTACGCAGATTTTGAAGCATTGTTGGTAAAATCTGACAAAGCTCTCACACGCAATACATTCGAGTACCAAAAACATGAAGCATGCTCATTTGGGTTGGTTGCTGTTGATTGGAGTGATAATATTATTTACAAAGAATTTTACAGAGGTCATGATGCTTCGGAAAAATTTATTGAAACTTTAATAGAGCTACGAGAGTTTCTTCAAACCCATCTAGATCTGAACAGAAAACCAGTTTCAATGAATAATACTGAGAGAATAGTTTATGAAAGTGCAACCCAATGTTATGTTTGTCATAAACTATTGAATGATGATAAAGTGCTAGATCATTGTCATCTTACAGGGAAATTTCGAGGAGCAGCGCATAATCAATGTAATCTTCAAATGCGTTTACCTGATAAATTACCAATAATTTTTCACAATTTAAAAGGATACGATGCACATTTAATAATTAAAGGTCTCAAGACAGATCTAATTAAAAACATCAGTGTGATTCCACAAAATACTGAAAAGTATATCGCAATAATCATGGACAATTTCCTGTTCTTAGATAGCCTTGCTTTCTTACTTTCAAGTTTGGATACACTTGCAAACAATCTTCCAACTGAGGAAAAAACAAAGTTTTTGAAACAGGTATTTTCCGAAGCTGATTTACCATACATCCTTGCAAAAGGGGCCCTACCTTATGAGTATATGGACTCATGGGGAAAATTCGAGGAAAGAAAATTACCTCCAATCAATGCATTTTTTTCAAGTTTGTCACAAAAAACTATTGACCAACAAACCTATGACAGATTAAATGGAATATGGAATCATTTTGAATGCGAAAATCTAGGTGATTTTCATGATATTTATCTAAAAGTTGATGTTTTACTACTCACAGCAATTTTTCAAAACTTTCGTGCTACAAGTTTAAAACAATTTGGGTTGGATCCATGTCATTATTTCTCAACACCTGGTTTAACATGGGATGCAGCTTTGAAGTTTACTGGAATGAAATTAGATCTTTTAACCGACATCGATATGATTTTGATGATTGAAAATGCAATAAGAGGAGGAATATCATGCGTGATGTCAAGATATGCAAAAGCAAATAATGAATTCACTGAGGAATATAATTCAGAAGAGCCTACATCATTCATTGCTTATCTTGATGTTAATAATCTTTATGGTTATGCACTGAGTGACATTTTACCATGTCGAAATTTTGCATGGGTTCCACAAAACGAGGTTGATGGAGTGATTGATGAAATTTTAAATACTAATCAGGAAAGAAAAACAGGATATATTCTAGAAGTAGATTTAGATTATCCTGAATCATTGCATGATGAACATAATGATTATCCACTTGCCCCTGAGAAAATTATTGTAGATAATGATCAGTTAAGTAATTTTCAAAAGGAAATCGTCAGCATGTTGGAAGAAAATGGAGTGAAGCGCTATAAAACCAAAAAACTTGTTCCGAATTTAATGAATAAGAAAAAATATGTCCTTCACGAACGTAATTTAAAATTCTACATTGAGAAAGGGTTGATTCTTAAAAAAGTACACCGGATCATCAAATTCGAACAAGAGCCTTGGTTGCGTTCTTATATTCAAATGTGTACTGAAAATAGAAAAAGGGCTACATCATCATTCGAAAAAGATTTCTGGAAGCTAATGGTGAATTCTTTATATGGAAAAAGTATTGAAGATAAAAGAAAGCATAGTAAAGTCAAAGTTGCTACAAATGGTAGACAAGCTCTACAACAAATAAGGAAACCAATGTTTGAACAATTTTACATACTGGACAATGATATAGCAATAATCAAATTGAAAAAGTTTGAAGTTATCCTCGATAAACCCATTTATTTAGGTTTCACTGTCTTGGAATTATCAAAGTTACATATGTATAAATTACATTATGATCATTTCAAACCTAAATATGAATCAAAATTATCTCTCACCTACACTGATACAGATAGCTTCATCTACAAAATAGAAACAGACGACTTATTCAAAGATTTAGAAGATTTCGATTATTTGATGGATTTTTCTGACTATCCACAAAATCACTTCTTACACACGACTAATAATAAGAAGAAACTTGGATACCTTAAAGATGAAATGAATGGCCAAATCATTGATGAAGTAGTCGCTATAAAGTCTAAACTTTATGCTATCAAGTATGGTGCAAATAAAAAATTAACAGCTAAAGGCGTTCAAAAGGCAGTCGTTAAAAGTAGTATTTCAATTGAAAATTACAAGGATTGTCTGTTTTCAAATGCTTTATTGAAACACGACAACTTTAGATTGCAGAGTAAACAACACTGCATTTCTTCTGTGAGAATAAATAAATTATCTTTCTCACCGCTCGATGATAAAAGATACATTTTAGATGATGCAGTCAGCACTTTAGCTTTCGGTCACTATCGAATCAATACAACTCTTGATTAAAGGTGATTTGAATTGAATTCACTCTTGTTGCAATCAAACCAATTCAATGTATTTTGCTTTATTTTATCATTAATTTTAATGTTTTTCTTTCTTTTCTTTACAGATGACAAAATACAACATCAAAGTTAGACTGGCACAGATCAGTGCCAAAAAAGCAGGCAGACAACGTATTCGCTTGGTAGTTAAAAGGAAACCATTCGACTACGAAGAAACCTGGAAAATGATAAAAATTAACTGGTTGGATGGTTGGAACCCTAAATGGTATCCAGGTAAAAAACCAGACAATCAAATTAAACTACCGATAATCAATGGACGGATTGATTTTGGGGATTGGAACGACGTGAATGATGAGTATTATGTTGATGAAAAGGATAAAGACCAAGCAGCGGTTGAAAAGGATAAGGATGATGCTCAGTCCACTGACACGAAATGGGATTTTTCAGCATTCGATGAAATTCTCGAATCACCTGATCAAAATATGGAGGATATTTCCGAAATGTTTGACAATGTTTTGTGCTTGCAATAATTTACACTTTTGTATTTTATGAAATTAATTTTAATACATTTTCCTTAATAATTTTTCATTGTATTTTGTATTACATTTTTTAAATAGAACAGGATCATTATTAAAACAACTTTGTAAAAATTCAATACAAAAGTATCCACATTTTATTGATAAATCACCTTGGTACACATGTATATTATAATTAAAGCCATACTTTTTACTATTGCGCTCTAAAAATGTTTCAATCAACTGTGGAGGTTTCTGAGCAAATGAATCAAAATACATTGCAGTTCCAAATTCAGGTACGTATACTGCGGTCCAGTGAGATCCATGTTTCCAACTCTGATCAAGGTTTATTACAACCCCGAATGGTTTCGACAACAAGGTAAGTGGAAGCCTATCAATGGCATATACTCCTTTGAAACTTGGAAATTTTAGTAAACTTTTCTCAATATCGATTGTTGTAAGTGCCATTAGTAATCAGTTACAATATTTCGTGCTGCATCAATCTGTAAAATACTATCATATATACCAAATACAATCATGTGCATTCCTTCACTAACGGTTGCATTGAATTGAATATCTATTCGAACGTTTCCTCGTTTTATGAGGGATAGAGCACCAGATTCAGAAACGAGAGTACCATCATCAGTTAGATCAAATACTAAAAGTGGAAATTTATTTTCATAATCATCATATTTCAATTGTATTTTAGGTAGTCCATTCTCTTGGTTCATTGATCTGAAAATATTGTAATATTCTCGCATATACAATTGTTTTGTGAAATCAGGTTTATATGGTGAACTAGGAATCTTAATTCCATTAACAACAACAGTAGCACTTTGTAAATTTTTGTGGGAAAATGTAAATGCATCAAACGCAAGATCAGCATTGAAAGATTTATCTGTAACAAACCCAACAATAATTTTTCTAGGCAATTGTCCATTGTAAACATTATCAATGCTATTAGCTGCAAACCCTGCGGGTAAATGAAATGATTTGACTTCGTTTCGTTGAAAATAATACTTGACAGGGTTTTTTTCTAAATTAGCAGCAATAGACATTGCAACCGGCGGAAAAAGTTTTACTCTCCGAATGAATAATGAAAGCTTCTCAAATTCAATAACAAGTTTAGTTATAGGTTTTGCACAGCTTAATCCAAAGCTTGCAGGAGCACATTTCAATCTCATTGTAATCGGTACATTGTCAATTAAAAATTTTTCTTGTTGAAACATTGGACCATGAATTGGTAAAATAATATCGAATGATTTTTTACTTTTTATCCTATCAACCCTTTTCTCTTCTGCTTCATTAATCATTTGACAATCACCGATTGTTGATTTATATTTAAAAAATAAATCATCAATAAAAGTCTGATAATGGAAAAAGCTATTACCGGGTGTAATGTTCACATTCCCAAGGTAAACATCAAGTTGCTCAAATAATGATGCAGCAAAATTATTCGTAGGGATTACTTTTTCTGTTGAATCTGTATCTACTTTTAGTTGTGCATACAAATAAGAAGCAGCTAAATCCGTATAATGTTCAGAGCCAGGTATAACAAATTCAAAAACAGTTGATTTTGACAGTGATCCTATTGGTCTGTACTCTACATCATACATGCTTTCAATAACAGTTTGAGTCGGAGGTACTTTAAATAAATCAAGTTCAGCAGTGGTAGCTGGAGCAGAAGATGCGTGCAGAAATTCCATCATGAAAAAATATCTTTATGTTTTTTAGTCTTTTTTCTGGTTGTTTTTCTCTTACACACTCTTTTTATAGAGCGTTTCTTCACTTTACGCGTAGACTTGCTCTTTGTTAGTCTTTTTCTTTTATATAATCTTTTTCGTCCGCGCCCTTGTTGTGATGCTACACTTTCTTTGATTTTGGCTAAACCTTTGTGTGCAAAATCTTTAACACCTTCTTTAAAAGCTTGTTGAATTTGCGGATCTTGCACAACCCTTTTACCAATACTAACACCTTTATCTAAGGCTTCTTTTCCTAAAGCTTTAATTATTGGAAGCGCTAGGCGAGCGATAAAACTACCAAAGCCATAACCCCTTTGATATCTAGGACCTCTGACAATTCTGATATCACCAAATCCTGAGCCGATTTGATTTGCAAAATAATCGTTGAAATCACTATCTTTAGGACAATATGTTTTTCTTTGAATCATTTTATTAAATTTTTTTTACATTGTTTTCTTTATATTAATTACTTTTCGAAAATCAAGACTTAGGAAAACTCTTCCAATGCCTGCAAATCTGATCTGCTCTCCAGTGTCATCTGCTAAAACTACTGAAACGCTTTCAATGTGGTTTTTACGAACTGGATAATAGATGCGATGCTCAAATGTACAGTAACCAATGCCTTGATAGATACCACTCGTTAGCGGAATTGCTCGCAATATTGGTGATTTTGTACCTCCAACATTATGATCTCTAATGATATCAGCATACACGTACATTAGTTTCACCTCTTTCTCAAATGATTTTAGACCTTTGAAATTTAGTGTTTGTGAGCTTAAAGAACTGGTGTAATCATGAACTTTTGGATCAAAACCTAGATATTCCAATATTTTTTTGTCTTTAAATTTCGGAACATACAGCATCCTACCAGCGCATGACCATTCCGGTGAATCCTCACCGCCTGCTCCAATTACACTGCATTTACCGTAATACTTGTTGTTGAAGTAGAATTTTATATCATGTTTTGCGTTAGCAGCTGAAGGGCTAATTACAGGTAATTTATCTGAGCTCCTGTTGTCCTGAATTATTTTATTTTTTATTTCCTCTGTGTGAGATGGGTCAGTCAAGATGTTTAATTTAGCATATTTAGCGGCTGCGTAATCGTAGAAACCAACCGAAAATGTTACTTTACCATTTTCAAGAAAAAATTTCGGATATGATTTCATACTCGTCAACTCTTTCGTAGCGGCTTCCATTTCGTCATTTAGTTTATTCAAAATTTTTTCTATTGAATCACCTGGGAAAATACTCACTGTCTTTTCTGCTTTATTTTCCCATGGATGTTCTAATCTTAAGTTTTGCTTATCATAGACGACATAATGCGCGTTCATAATTGAAAATTTCAACTCAAGTTTAGTGGGAATTTCAGGCTCAACCTCTAAAGGAAAATAAATTTCAGTAAGCGCAACTTCCCATTCTCCATCTAATTCTAATGCAGGATCAATTTGATTTTCGAATCTCGATAATGTATTATCAGGGAAAATGCTCATGGATCCATTCGATATAAGATCTATTGTGAAATTATCTGTTGTTGTCATTTTGTATTGATAAGTTATTTATGTCCCAAACCCAGCTAGCAAATTTGCGAGGCCAACCTTCCCATTTAACCAAGTACTTATATTGTCTTCGAGATCTATCGTAAACTCTCTTTAAAACTTTTTCTACCCTATGGACTTCATTCGGGTTGAATTCAACCTTTTGTAATTCCTCAGGATAAAAAATTGAAGATACATTTTCCCCTTGTAAGTCTTTCAATTTATAAATGAATTTTTGCGGCGTTTCTTTGACTCCTGAAATTTTAAATACTTCATCAGTCCATTTTTGAACAGCATCTTTTTCAAAATTGCCAGAATTTAATGGAATTTTGACAAGTTCATTTTCATTGAACTTTTTCTTTTTGTTGTCTTCTTTTTTGATTGATCTTTGAATTATCTGCACAATAGATTGTTGATTATCTTGCGTTACAGAGTTTGGCGCTGTTTTTATAGTTCTGTGGTAGGAATTGTTGTAATTATTCACAATATTCTGCAAATCATCAATATATCGATGAGTATGTTTATAGTAAATGAATCGATATATTCGGGAACGTAATGTTCTTATTAGTCGTTCAGCTAAAGCACACTTTATTGAAGAATCAGTTGTAGTAAAATAATGAACACCCTGAGATGAACAAAATTCTTTGAACCTATTGTTGTTGAATTCTCGTCCTTGATCAGTTTGCAATTTTTCAGGCTTTCTTCCTAGAGATAAAATTGCAGAGAAAGCATTTATAATAGTTGACCCTGATTTATCTTTGCAAGGTTGAACCCATGCAAATCTGCTCAGAACATCAATTACAACTAATATATGTTTGATTCCATCATTTTGTTGTGACCAATAGGACATGTCCATCAAGTCTGCTTGCCATTGTTCATTTATTCTGTCAACTATTATCGCAAGTCTTTGAAATTTTTTTCGCCTTGTACGAAAGTTTGTATAGGTGTCTTGTTTCATTAACCATTGCTTTACAAATTTGTAATCGATCGATGAATCAAATTGTTTGGCAACATTATAAAGCCTTTTAGCACCTCCGAAACTACCGTCACTATCTAAGTCATAATAAAGTTGCTTTAAAAATTCTTCACGTTGCTCCACTTGAGGCTCTGACATTTTTTCACCTTGTGCTTTCTCGGTCTATCAGTTGATTTCTTTTCATAATTTCGAATCGCTTTTCTGAAAGATTCTTTATATTCATTCAAATTGGTTGGAGAAGTGTCCTTCTGATCTTTATTATCAATGGATTTTGAATGGTTTTCCTCTTGTAATTCAACTTTTTGCTGATCGTTAGCGCTTTTCAGTAGATTATATTCTTTCTCTGGAATCAAAACTAATTTGTTTAAAACATTCATTTTTTAAATTGATCAGCTATTTTTCCTCCTAAATAAGATATTACTGGCCAAAGTAATGCGGGTAGAAATGCTCCACCAGTTTGATTTATGATTTCTTTGCGTTTCTGCAATGTAATGCTTTTTTTTGCAAGTAGTCTTAACTGATTCTTATAAGGTGCGAGTCTCTTTTTATGATTATCTGAAAGAGATATATTCCCGTTTAATGTGTTTTTACTAATTTCTGATATTGAATAATAAATACACGATTTTGCTTTAGATAAAAGTTTCTTTTGTTGTTTCTTTGTTTTTGCCTGTGCAATGTTTTTCAGTGTGGGTAAACACTTGATAACACTTTCAATTGACATTTAAGCACGCAATAAGTTTTATTCTCATCTTTATATAGATTATAAAACAAATGCATACATTGGTTCATTATCCTCATTGAAAATATTTGTAATGAGTCTTACTTTCTCATTTGTATCGGGTTTAAGATCAATAAATAGATAAGAAAATGGAGTGGAAGTAGCGTCTTCATAAGCAGCTTGAAATTTTTTAATCTTTAAAGGGAACATTTGTCTACCAATATTAGTTATCATTGATTTATCTCGTGGATTTTTGAAACATACAACATATTGACTATTTAAGCTAATATTTCTACTCTCTTTACCTTTAATAAAAAAATTTTGAGTTACTAAAATTACTGATATGTTTCGATGATGAGATCCTTTAGTGAATAGATTACTGATGAATGTTTGATTCGATGCTTCCAACATTAAATCATCAATAACAATCCATTCAGGCTCTTCTCCGCCTGCATTTTTTATGACTTCTTCCTGAAGACCTTCGATGAACTTTACATTTGTCATTGAATTAAATATTTTTTGATACTCTCCATAAAGGTAGGTAATCTTCTTTGGAGCTGGATCACAAATATAACCAGCTTTATTTATCATATCGCGAATAAAATAGGTTTTACCTGAGCCTGTTGGCCCCGCGATCAGCATTGTAAAAGGATGTTTTAAATGAATTGAGAAGGACATTTTCTTAAGTTTAAAAAATTTATTTCTTTATATAGTCATTACATTTGAATAACAACGGTTGGACTTAATGTATTCTGTAGGTTGTTTTCAGAGTGCATAGATTTTATCTTAGGGGTTGGAAGTAAGAATCCGAGTGATGATCCTAGTAGTGCTGTCCACAATGGAAGATTACCAGTTTTTAAGATGATGTTTGCAATAGCGACTATCAACATTGCAATCAAAACAATTATTTGAACAGAAAAAAGTACTTTCTTGTACCAGATTTTGGCGTCTTCTCCTTGAGTCATGATGTCGATGATTTGATAGATTATCAACAATAGTATCATCTTTATATAAATTTCATTCTAATTTCATAGTCAAATAGATTACAATAGTCTCGAATAGATGATAAATCTTTTAAACCAGTTATTATAACTTTTCCTGTCCTGAATATTATATAAATAACCTTTGATTTATCAAGTTTTAAGTGAATACCTGGAAAAATTTCCGGTTCATAGGAGGATCCGGGGTGCTGTAATACCTTTTTATAGTCAAATTCACCGACAATTTGTGAACAAACTGTAATATTTACTATTTTATATGTAATAAACTTAATATCATCAGGATAATTTGAACAAAAACGATCAACTAGAACCATTGATGTTGCAAAATTTTGAACTCCTGTTACATTTATCTTTCCGGAATCAAATATTAGAAGACAACCATCGGGATATTTCAATATTCCACCTGAAAAACGTTTAGGATATTTTATATATTGAAATGTTTCTTTAATTTTTTCCCTTGTTAGTTTGCTGTCCAATGTAAATGATGTCACAATGTTAACTATTAAACAATTCTCATGTAAGTACTTCATTATGAATGACGGCTAGTCAATGAATTTCAGTTTAAATACTCCTGTTATTTTCGCACGACAAATAGGACATGAAGCGATACCTGGTGCACAATCAATACATGTAACAGTGTGCTCACAGGGGTAAAAGCAAACTCCTACTTCTTTTTCAAGACAAACTTTACAAACATATCTAGCGTTTGATGGTTCTAGCAAAGGTGTATCAGATCTTTTAATTGGTTGGACTTTTAAACATGATCTAATAAAACTAATTCCACACTTGAGATACAAATAAGTGCACCAAGGAGCACAAATGGCATGTGCTATCCAAGCATCATCCTCTGGAATCCAATTACGAATGTGAATGCCACAGTGAAAACAAACAACAGTATCTGTTTGCCCTGCGAACAGAAAACCAGCTTTTGCTAATTCAGGTGCCGATATACTCTCACTAGTCCAGTTTGTGAAAGTTGATAGACGACTTGTTAATGTGATATATTCGGGGTGTTGAGCTTCAATATCCCACGAAGAGCAACTAAACTCATACGATGAAGTAACTGATGTACTAATATCTTGTATTTGTAGATTGTATGTGTCAGGTTCATCACTATCCGCATTTTGTCTTATCAAATCCGCTGATAATACGTTTAAGGGATAAAGTTGAGTAACATCTAGTAACAACTGAGCAAAAGGTATAAGGGTTTGACTTTGTTCATCCATTTTGAAACGAGGTTTAAGAAAAAATGAACTTTTCTTGTTATTTGCAAACATTTTATAGAAAAAACTGTACCGTTTTCATCCCGCTTGACGTAATTAACAATCTCAAGGACAAAACTGTTTAATTATAAGTTATAGTTTAATGAACTATGTAGTAGAGTTAGATTGTGTACTAGGGTTAGATTGTGTACTAGGGTTAGATTGTGTAGAGGGGTTAGATTGTGTAGAGGGGTTAGACTGTGTATATTTACTACTACTATTCATCATAAAGAATAGTTTTGTAGTTTTATTATATCTTGATATAAAATGGAATGAAAAATTGAAGTAGCAAATAAAAATTTTCCATTTTATTACAACGATTGTTAAAAGCAAAATAAGGTAAGTAGTCTGTAAAAATGTAAAAGGTGAAGGGAAACAATATTAATGGTTAATTTAAACTTTGAGTCTCAATATCACCAGAATGTTAGCGCCTTCAATCAGCATTCTTTCAACAATTAAAAGATTGATTATGGGCTTTAGTATAATATGACTGAGAAAATCTGAGTAAATTCCTATAATAGCGTATATCCTTCATTTTTCATCATGATTCACTCATGAGATAATGGTCTAAGTAATCGTCTTTACTTTGATACTTAAGTGTTTGCAGCATTTTTGTTTATCACTAGAATATATTTTTAACTCAAACAATAAATTCATCAAGTTAAAGACAAGTTGAGTTATATTCGATTCATTTAAGTTGATCAAGTTGCACTAAAACAGTTTGCCTCTGAATTATTGAAATTGAATAACTGATTTGAAAGCTATTAAAATGAAAAATACGATCGGACTCATCTTTTTATGCGAGTTTTTCATTTTTTGTTGGCTTAATTTCTTTTAATGTCTTGTTCATTCCAAATTAGTTGCCGTGATTAATGTGTCATACTCGGCATCATTACGAGAGTTGACCTGCATAAAAAGACTGTTTTCTCGCGAAGATATATCGAAGTTGGTACTAACTTCCATCGTAAATCGACGAATTGATTAAGTCATGACTTTATATGGAAAATCTCTGCTTTACAACAACTCGAAAATTTTTGTACAATACTACTGAGCAGACGTTAAACTTACTTCTGAACTCATTGGATGCAAACAACACTCAAATAGACGTTTTTTAATCGTTACTCACGTATTGTAAGCATGCTTAACCGTGTTAAATACAACTCGCGAATCCCTTGTCTTGATCACTTGATTGTGAATTCGCACTCTAGTTTCTCATGAAATGAACTTCAAGGTATGATAGACGCCTACATTGATGACATTTAGATGGTTCATAAGTGCGAAGTATCCTTAGGATGTCCGAATCGAGTGGACATGAAGACAGTTGATCAAATAAAATCATTGGCCAATGAATTGCGAAAATTTACTTTTTATATGGACGATGCATCCGTTACTGAGCCAATGAGTATTTCAGTACTTCAGTTCATGTTTTCATGAACTTCATTTGCATGCATAACTTTATTTTTTCAATGTTATTGCTAATGACAATTAACCGATTAATAAAGAAATCTTAATTTAGAAATTGCTATTCAAATTAAATTGCTAAAGTGAGCACACATTGTCCGCAGAATTCTGATAAATACTTGTCAAAAAACATACGAAATTGTTTGTACAATCAAAAAATACTTTTGCGCGAATGTTTACGAAGATCAGAAATATCGAACATCACTGTACTGATCTGTATCTGATGTGTACTGATATAATGGACAATATATTGATGGCACATTATGTTATATTTACTGGACGATATCATTGAAGATATCATCGTATTATTAGTTATGATAATAATTAACAATCAAAGATTGTAACACGCGCATTCAGTTGTGATGGATTGGATTTAACATGGATTCAATGGATGTGTTCAATCATGTTCAAACCTGAGTTATCGACTTTACTTTGATAACACTTTTTAAATGTTTGAAGCATTGTTGTCTATCACTTAATTATATCGTTTAACTCAACTCAATAACAAATTTATTATTGTTCTGATTGAAATTGAACAAATAATCACGGGCGAAAGTACCAAGTAAAACAACTTTACATGGATTAAACTGGTTTGAATTTGCAAGAAAACAAAGCAACAAAGATAGATTCAGCGATAGATTGTTCATCAATGCTACGATCAAACAAATCAGGTAGATATAAAGACGAGCTCAGATCTATTCAATTCATTAAAGTCTAGCAAGTTGTTACTAAAACAGTTTACTTTTGATTTATTAATTTGGAAGCTAATACAATGAAAAATACAATCGGACTCATCTTTTTATGTAAGTTTTTCATTTTTTGTTAACTTTTCATTTCTTTTAATTTCTTTTTTCATTTTAAATTAGTTGCCGTGATCAATGCATCATACTCCATATCACTACGAGAGTTGGCCTTCATGAAAAGTCTATACGCTCGTGAAGATATGCCGAAGTTGGTCTTAACTGCTATGGTAAATCGACGAATTGATGAAATCAGGACTTTATACGAAAGAAAACCGATTCTTGAAGATGCAAAAATCTTTTGCAATTCAACTGAACAATCGTTACAATTACTTTTGGATTCAATGGATTCAAATAATACTCGAACCGGTGATCTTTCTGAGTCTTACTCACATATTGTGCGACTCATAAACGATGTTAAAAGTATCATGGGAATCCATAATGTTGATTATTTGACTATGGATTCGCGCTATAGTTTCTCGAGAGATAACCTACAAGCTATGATGGACGCTTATATTGGTGACATTGAGATGGCTCGCAAGTGTGAAGTATCCTTAGGACGTCCAAATCGAGTTGATATGAAAATCGTTGAACGTATAAAGTCATTGTCCAATGAAATGCGAAATTATTATTTTCCTAAGGACGACGGATTCTTTGCTGAGGTGAGCAGTATTTCACGAAAAACAATGGACCAGTGTTTGTGGCGATTTGAATTCTTGTTAAATAAGTTTACAGCAACCTTCATCAATTTGAAGATGTAATTTTGGAGTTTTTTGTCTATTAATATGAAATTGAAATAAAATTGAAGCATTAAATAAAATTGTTTCACTCAATTATCGTATTGACGCGCTGGTATTGGCACTGTGGTTATAAAAAATTAAGCTATACTTATAACCCTAATGGATTCAGTTTATATGACCCTTCAAACCCACCAAGTCCTTACATCAAACCTGAAATTCAATTTTTTGAATTTCCTCATGCATTTCAATCGTTTTTTCTACTTTTAACACTAACAGCTGCATTTAACGGGTTAGTTTCACCCAGCTATTAGGTACACAAAGTACTGATCCGGTGTTAAAGTTGTTGCAGACGCTCGGCTTTTACCCGAAGACTCGTGTTCCGTAATATGAAGATTCTCTGAAGACATGCTACAGATGTCCTCAATAATTGGCTTGTTTAAGACATCTCTTGTGCTCAGGCACAAATAGGTATGTAAATGAACTTTATTTTGTTCCTAAGTTTGAAGTCCTAATTTGATGAATTACGAAAAGTTCCATTGATTTTTGATGAAATCGCTTTCAAACTTTTATTCTATTCTTTCATCAGGTTTGCATTTTATTTACAACGAAATACGATAAAATCTTATTTGTTCTGATAATAATGATGGTGACTCACAATATTATTAATAGTTATAAATCTCGAACTTTTTAATGGTAGTTGATGGAATTAAAATGGAATCATTGAATGTATACAATTAGGAGATAAAAGTCTGTGTAATTGACTTTACTTTCATGCTTAAGTGTTTGTCACTTAATTATATCTTTGAACTCAATTAAATAACTTTATCAAGTTAAAGATGTTGAGTTATATTCAATTCATTTATTAATAAGTTGATCAAGTTGTCACTAAAACAGTTTACCTTTGATTTGTTAACATTGACTGATTTGGAAGCCATTACAATGAAAACTACGATCGGACTCATCTTTTTATGTAAGTTGTCCATTTTGTTCTTGACTTTTCCATTTCTTTTACTCTCTATTACATTTTAAATTATTAATAGTTGCCGTGGTCAATGTGTCATTTTCCTCATCACTACGAGAGTTGAACTTCATTGAAAATCTGTACACTCTTAAAGATATACCGAAGCTGGTACTAACTTCTATGGTAAATCGACGAATTAATCAAGTCAAGGCTTTATACGAAAGTGTTTCGATTTATAAAGACACAAAAACCTTTTACAATGCTACTGAACAATCGTTAAAATTAGTTTTGGACTATATAGATTCAAATAACACTCTCATCATGAATATTTTTAGTCGCTACTCACGTATTGTTCGCCTTATATCCAATGTTGCCGAACAAACGGAAATCCCTAATTTTGATTACTTAAATTTTGGTTCTGGCTTCGTTAATAGTTTACCAAGGAAGGAGCTTCAAGGTATGCTGGACGCTTATATTGATGACATTGAAATGGTTCGTAAGTGTGAAGTATCCTTAGGACGTTCAGATCGAGTGGACATGAAAATCGTCGATCGTCTAAAATCTTTGTCCAATGAATTGCGAAATTATCATTTTTATAGAGACGATAGAACCGTTTCTGATTCACAAAGTATTTCTCAAAAAACCCTAGATCAATGTTTGTTGCAACTTGATTTCTTGATCATTCACTTTGTGCTAAACTTCAAAAATTCAAACCTACCCCAGCCGAGTGATACATTGACGCCATTCAATGAGATTGGATCGCATCCCAGAGAGCTTAAGCGCATAATCGCGCTAAAAGCTCGATAAAAATTAAATTTGAACAAAAACATTCCCCAATTCAGACTTTATCAACTGACTCAAACCTGTTTGGCTAATTCTCCAACCACTGTCCTAGTGAATTATTTAGAAGATTAAAGTACAATTAATGAAGTCTATTGTGGAAGCAGACATTAATATTGACATTGACATTAATACTTTTGTTCAAATGAGAATTAAACGAAAAAATACAAATGACTTCTGCGTTTTTTTTCCTGAAATCCTAGTGATTGTAAAAAGTGTAACAATTTTCACTCGACTGGGGTAATTTTGTAGTTTAATTATCTATTAAAATTTATTCAATTGATAAAGGTTTATTGTTATTGTTTTATAATAATCTAATTATTCAATAAAATATTGATCATAAAAAGAAAACTTTTGTTATGCTAGCGACATCTCTTTATTAGTTTTCACACTGTTATTTAACTGTTGAAACTGAAGTAAATTGTGTAGTATAATTGATTGTAATCAGTCTTGCTGTTAGGAAACCAAATGAGGAACTTTTATCAAAAATTTATAATTATAATAGATTATTATTGTGAGATTATTG